GGTACCCCCGACGAAGTCGGCGCGACTCGCGGCCTCGGAATTTCGTTCGCAAAACCTTCCCCTCGAGTTCTTCCCCCCAGCTCCCGAGGAAGTCGACGCGACTCGCAAGGTGCCCGCCTCATAAATCGCGTAGCGACCCATTAATACCGGAATTTGGCTACCTCCGGGGCGCTCCGCACCCGGGAGACGCCAGACCGAGTCCATAAAGCTCCGCAAACTAACCCCCGGAGAAAACGCAGCGGCGTCTCCGCCGACTCTAGAGCCGGTCCCTGCTAATCATCGCCCGGAGTTTGTTCGCGGACGTCAAACCAAATTTATGAAGGCACAGGAGCCGGCGCGGAGGAAACGCGACCCCACCCTCCGGATCACCTCCTGGTTCCCCTGGGCCGATCATCCTGGAAGTTAAGTGAGAACTTCCTCCTCCAGCCTCCTCCTAACGAGATTCCTCGCACTCCTGCCTCGAATTCCAGGTTCCTAGGAACTTCTTTCGGCCCCCTCCTGTCAAAATCAGCTGATCGGGACCAGAAGACCGGAATTTCGCGACGAGACGAATTCGAGCCGCTACGCGTTTCCGCTTACCGGGCATAGGGTGGCCGTAGGGTGGCTGTCCGAAATTGGACGAGCTCGCAGCTTGTTCCGGACATCGAATTTCGCGCGGCGAGCCCGTTTCGCTCGGCGATAATTCCGCGCCGCCAATTAATCGGATCATCGCGGACGCGGCCTCGCGAGTGATCGTTATTCCTCCTTTCCGCGACCCCCCCGTCGCGGACGGAATTCGTAGCCGTGATTCCTCCCTACGCGGAAAGGTGAGCACCGCGAAAATCGCGGCTCTCCTCGAGCCGCGATGGATAATTGGGTTAACGAGGCGATGCACTCGCTCGGAGGAAACGAGCTCGCTGGGACGGACGGTCAACGCACACTTTTTATCAGCTTTCAGTTATCGAGCTCATGCGGAGCATTACCCGGATTTTATTCGACAAGTAATCCCGACGCACCCGACGAATCGGAGGACGGTTAGTCGCGGAAATCCACACCTGGTGAACGCGTATTCGAGGACCAGGACGATGTAGGCGAAGGTTATGAGAGATGCGCCGAAGATCCCCCGGTGTAAAAGCATTCTGACTATTATTTCTGGCCGCAATTTGCGGGCAAGTCTGAGAGTCAACCCCCCTGGAAAAAAAAAAAAAGGGGTTGACGACATTTAACTCTAGTCGGGAAGTAACGCGGTAATTGAAGTGTCGCTCTATTTAATGCTCCTGGGACGGTGGCATAGTAATTGAAGTGTCACTTCAACAACGTATCGCCATAATTATCGTGCGCTTTCATAAAGGGGTAAGAAAGGCCTCCAGGATTCGCCAAGGAGGTTTTCGGGAAACGGTCGTGCCTGGGGAGGATTCGCCTCCTTCGACTTACCCCTTTCTCGCAGGGGAGAGCTGCCGACTTTTCCTACTTGAAGACTTCGTTTTTCCTTCGAGGTGGATTTTCTTTTTTATTTTTTAGGCCTTGCGAGCCTCTTGTCCATTTATTTCCCGCAGTTAGCGGTGTAACGGTTGAATACTAGACAAACGCTCCGTCCAGGGGCTTGCCAATTCCCTTTATCGAGCGGAGCACTTCGACACTCCGCCAACATCTATTTACTTGCCACTCGGGAAGTTAACTCATTTATAATGAATTACGGCAAGTTCCACTCGAACTCGCAAGTCCGATAACAAGCAGTTGAGCACACAAGCGCGTAAACAGACCGTGGCGGTCCGTTCCGTCTATCGGATCAGTCAGTTTCGATACTCCCCGTCGAAGTCCTCGGGCGACTCGATTTATCCCGGACTCGAGATGGTTGGGTGGAGGGATGGATATCAAATTCGACCCCTCCGGGGGCCTCTGACCGAGAGCTTATACTTTTGGGAAATTAAATGGACACCCGGCTATCCGGCACGATACTTCTCGAGAGGAGCTTGTACTTTTGGGACACTAAGTAAACCCCTTTACTGGCGAGCATGGTGCTTGATAAGTGGAGCATCGTTTTCGCCGCGCGTCGATTCCGATCGACGGGAACATTCTCTCCCGGAGGCGTGACCCGAGGAAATGAAATCCGTATCGCTGGCTCGTTATTCATTTGCCGAGCACGACGAACACCGGTCGTCGACCGGTCTCGACCTCACCCGACCGAGGTCGGCGCCGGTCTGACCTCTCTCGGCAGTCGATGCTCGTCCTCGCGAGGATCTCTCGACCAATCAGGAAGAGGTCAGGTGGAAAGGTCGGTGGTAGAGTGGGGGAAGCCACGTGGGTGACGAGCCTATCGCGTCGCGGCGATGCCTCAGTCGACTCCGGGCTGCCGATTCGGACGGATCGGGTCGCAAGCCCGGACGAACCGATACAGGAGGACATGGAAGCGTCGCCCCATTTCCCGAGTAAGTCGAGCCGAAGAGCGAAGTAGGCCGACTTCTCTGACGGCGCAATGGCGAACAATGGCCTCGTTAGTCGAGGCCCCCACGGTTCGTCGAAACTTTATTAACCGGCGAATCGACCAGACGGAAACGATTAACCGGCATTCTTGAATCCGGTAATTCGCCCCCACTCGGAGGTCACGGGGAGTACTCCTGGCGCTCTCGAAACCGCCCCTTGTCGCGAGGACTCGCTCGTTAGTTCGGTTCAGAACTCGCGCTCGATAGTCGATGTCTCGAGCCGAGTCCTGGGCACGCCGATCGGTCGATCGTTAGCGTCGCGGTCGGCCGAAAAACCGCGGATACTTATTTTACTCGTTATGCCGGGGAAATCGTCCGACCCGGGGATCGAGATCGGAGAGGAGGCCGTTCGGAACGAAATTGGGGGACCCGATTGGCCGACTCCGAGACCTCCTTCGGAAGGAGGCTAGGGTTATGGAGAGGGTCGAGGTTGATTCGACGTTTCCCGGCACACTCGATAAGAACGACTACGGATACCGGGATAAATATTCCAGGGCGCACCCTCGACCGAGGCCTTTGCCGAAACCCGAACCCGTATCTCCCTTTGCGTTTTAAATATTCAAAATATACACGAAGGCATAAACGATCCCTGCGACATTTCTCGCACCTGTTCCCCCTTAACCCCTTTCTCTTCGCCCACCCTCTTCCCTCAGCTGACGATTCGTCGACCTCGTTTCCATGTTGTCTCGGAATCGTCGCGCGTTTCGATCGACCTCGGTTCGGCAGAACCTCCTCGTCGACTTCTAATCACGTCCCTCTCCGAGAATCCCGGATTTTCGAGATTTTCCTTCTTTTTTTTTTTCCTCTTTCCTTTTTCCTCCCAACTCCACCGAGAGCCCGGTGCCGAGATCTCCGCCCTTAAGCCCCGGCCAGGGTGCATCGTCTCGTTAATTCCGGATTCCCTTATTCCTCGCGATTCCGCCGAGTCCCGAAACTCCCTAAGCCGAGAAGGAAAGGCGACGCCCTGGTTAAAGTCCTTCCCGGCTCAAAGTCCTTTTCACTTTTGTGAAATTTGCGGAGTTTAAAGTTCCGCCAGTCTCTCGAGGGAGGGGGGGAGCCGTGTAGTGCGTCGAGGAGGGCCACCCTCGTAAAACGGAAAGTGTCGTCTAAACGACTTCTTATTAAGCCATCCTTTGTGACGTCTCATTTGTTGACTTTGTCTCTTTCGCGTGCACCCATTTGACACGGTCGTTTCGCGCTTCCTCTCGGCGAATCTCGGCCTGGAGATCGCACGGAAGCTGCGCGATTCCTGGACACTCCGAGAAGCCAGGAATTTTTTGGAAGACGTTAGTGATTGATATTCGACGAAAAGCATCGTCTAAATGACGTCTTATTAAGCCATCCTTTGTGACGTTTCATTTGTTGACTTTTGTCTCTTTCGCGTGCACCCATTTCGTGAGCCTCGGCCTCGAGATCGCACGGAAGCTGCGCGATTCCTGGACATTCCGGGAAGCCAGGAAGTTTTTGGAAGACGTCGTTAACGATTGATATCCGACGACGCGGTCCTCGTTTTTCTCTGACGGAACCGCCGCGCTTCTCGGCCCCTTTTTGTCCGCCCTCCGTCGAGGTCGGCTCCGGAAGGGGTCGCGTCAACGTCGACGTAATTGTTTCCCGACGCGGGCCGAGTCGAGGACCGCGACAAGGTACCCCTTCCGTCGCAGGACGAATTGATGGATCGGCGACGACCCGGCTCGTTTATACCCCCTATTATACTCGCTTCCTTGGGGGGGCGAGAGAGTGCACCGAATCTTGCACCCCTTTTCCCTCTATTCTCAACCGAGTCGTCGAGTCCACTCACTTCATTCCCCTCGATCCGTCAATAAACACCACCAATAAACGAAAAAAAAAAGAAAAAGAACAACCCTCTTGATCTCACAATCTCGATTTTTTACCCCTTTACTCCATCGCATTTCTGCACTTTTGAAAAAGAAAACTGTCGTCCTAGGTCGCTATCTCCCGTATTTGAGGTCCGGGAGCGGAGGTGCATAAATAAATACTCCCGTGCCCGGGAGGAGGTCGCGCGATAACGACCGCCGTGTTTCGCCCGGGGTCGGACACCCTCTCCGAGCTGTCCTCGACCTCGGCGAAGACGACGGTGCGTCGGCTCGCCGCCATTTTCGGCTGGCCACTGCTCGGGATGACGAATAGAACGGGAAAGTCGGGAGAAAATGGCGAGAAATTCCCGCGAGGTACCCGTAACTCGGGATTACGTTTTGGAACGTTGCACCTCCACGGTTCGACCCCCTCTTCCCGGGACCTCACCCCAGGATGGGCTGGCTTTCCTCCTTGCCGCGGGGGTAGTCGTTTAATTATCCGACGATCGACGGGCGCTAATCCTCTCCTCGGTCGGAGTATCCGCGCCGTTTGTTCATCGAGGGCGATCCGGATAAATGGCGCATCCGCGGAACCGCGACTTCCGGTCCGTAGGGGCTTAACGAATATCCACGCGTCGGAGCGAGGTCGGGATTATTAATTTAATTCTCCCTCGTATGATTGACGGTTTTCCGATGTCTTTTCCAGGGGTGGACACGGCGTACGATGCTTAGGGATGCTTGGACGGACGACGCTGGGAAAGGCTGGTGCCGACGGTGGTGGTCCAGGCTGGGCGGACTGTTGGCGATGGCGGCGGCCGTCTCCTGCTTCCTCGCCACGCTTCCGGTTGCGGAGGCCAACCCGGAAGCGAAGCGCCTCTACGACGACCTCCTGTCGAACTACAACCGCCTCATCCGGCCCGTGGGTAACAACAGCGATCGGCTCACCGTCAAGATGGGACTACGCCTCTCCCAGCTCATCGATGTCGTGAGTCGACTTTCCTTTCAACTTGTTCCTACGCTAAAAAGGAGAAATTCATTGATTAAGAAATACGATTCATTGAACAATGCCAAAGGAAGATTTTGTTAATTTTAAGAACTCCACTCAAACCCAAAGAAATAGTTATCGTTACGATGAAACCTCGCATCAGCAATTTATTCGAGTAATATAATTAATTCTTTAGTTGACAGAGGGTTTTTTTTCGGTATTGTTCAAGGAAACATTTTTCTTGCTCGATGGAACTTTCTTCCGGGAGTAGTTTAGAGACCCTCCCAATGTTTCCGTTCTCGCCTCTCGGCCTGTAAGTAGAGACTATGGGGTTGACATTCGAGAAGAGCGGTGTCGCTCCCTGGTTGCACGTACGGCGTCGGCGTTCCCGCCGTAATTCTTGGGATCTCCTATCCAGGGCGACCCCGAAGACGCGTCCATCCTCTTTGAGACGCGACCCGGAGGGTCCGGCAAAGGGGATCCGGGTAAAGAGATCGAGGCTCGCGGACCTCCCGGCGGGGGGGACGGGTTTTCCTGGAGGAAGAGGGGTTCCCCCGGGATTCCTCCGAGGGGATTCCGGAGAGTCCGGGAACGGGCATCGGGCGGGCCATCGGGACTTCCTGCGAGGAATAAACTTCTCTCGTTACGCGTCCCGGGCTACCCTTCTTTCCTTGGCCGTGTCTCTCTCCGGCAGGACGTGCCTTCCTCGGGGGACGAGCGGAGAAAGGAAATGGAGCGCGAGTCGGCTCTTTGCCGAAACGAGAAACGCCCTCCTGGGGGGCGACTCCTTGAACGCGACCGAACCTGGGGGGCGTTTTAATCCGCACATAGGTGGGCGATTCCGTCGCGTTCGGCACCGGCCAACTTCTGACGCGGTTCCTCGTAATTGCGATAGTTGCCCCGGGAGCGGGCATTACTTATGCTCGGTGGGCACACCCCGGACGGTAAGCCCTAATTCATTCGGGGTAGTTTGCCGCGATAATAGGCGGAGCGCTGGATCATCCCGAATGGAAACCCCATCCCCGCTCGTCAGCTACGACGAGGCCACCTTATTCCGGTTAATCCCTTATTATCCTCGGTTGCCTATTAGAGTCCGAGATACGCGAGCACCGATCGGGAGACTCGATCTTCAAAGGACCTCGAAGACCTCCCCGACCTGTCGATGTCTCCTAATTCAGGGTAATTTCAAGTACCTCCACCCTGGCGCGGATCAAAGAGGGGGGTGTTCCATAAATTGCCGGCCCTCTGTCTCCGCGAATATGGACTTAAAGCCAACGACCGCGACATTATCGCGAGTCCACGAGGAACGGCGAAAGTTCCCGGATTCGGGGAATAATTAGGAGCCGAGGGGTCGATTCCCTTACTCGACAGGAATACCCGATTCCGCGTACCAGGAACGGCGGAAGCCGCAACTTCGAGGAGAGCTCCTCGCGGCTTTTGGCGCAGGTTCTGCGGATTCGCGGTGTGGGTTTCTTCTTATTTTTATTCTTTATTCTCTTTTTCATATATTCACTTTTGTTTCGTTTATTTTACCCGAAGGGTCGATTTCCTTTTTTTTCCCCCCGATGTTTTCGAGGGGACAGGATCTTGGAGGATGTCTAGAAGAGCTGGATGAAATTCCGGAAAGCACACCCCCTACCCGGTCGCACTTCCGCCGGGCTTAACGGTCGACCGGCTGTGACGTCTCCGGCGGCCCATGAGGCGACGCCCGACGTCGCCCCACCGGGCGACGGAGACGTCGGCTCGGAAAACGACGGGGATGTCGAATCCCTGTCCGGTCGGTTATTTACAGGATGTTCGCGCTCCTCTTCGATTATTTCGACCCTCCCCAGAAAACGGGGAAATCCGCCCTATCTCGGCGCGACGTCTCGGCTATTTTCTCTCGGCTTTCCTCCTCGGTCACATTAGAAATTTCCCATCGCCGAAGTGGATCGCGAGGTCGAAACTTCGTCTCTCTCTGCCCCCGACCTGGAGGGTTTCGCTTCTTTTCGAGAGGGGCATTTTGAAGGGTCGCCAATCTCGAAGGAATCACTTCGAGGAGGATTCGCGCGATCAACAGGGAGGGAGGATCTATCAGCGTATATCCTGAAACGCTGCCCCCTCCATTAATTCTTCCTTGTAACTTCCTTGTTATTGGATTTAAATTCAAATTCCAATTTATTCCAGGGGGGAGAGCTAACGCGTTGTATAGCTTCGGGCAACTTTTTAATTAAATTACTTTCGACCGTTTCACGTTAATTTCACGCCCCTTTAAAACCCCTCCCCGGAACGGCGTTGCAATAATTTAAGAACCATTCATTAGTTTTATTGGTTACCTGTCGATTTGGGAGGAAAGCGATTTTCCGTCCCACTCTCGTGGATTTCCGAACCGATGGATCTCTCCGTCTCTCTCATTCGATTCTTTCTCTTATGTTCCTTCATTTTTTATTTCTTTTTTTTTTCTTTTTTAGTTACCCCCTTCGAACTTATTTCTAGTTCGCGAGAACGGAGCTCGCAATCGTACTTCCAATCAGACGAAGTCGAAACCTCAACGACTTCGGTTTTCCACTTGCCCCTTGCGCGGAGGGGGGGCAAAAGAAAGAAGGAAAGCCACACCGAGAGCGAAACTTTCGGAAGTTGTTCGCGGGAGATTGCGAGAACGGAAAAAGGGCGCGAAAACGGGGAACGCGGAGCCTCCCCCGGTTTACCCCAATTAAGAAATATTTACTTCCCGCTACTTGGCTTCCGCCTTGCGTGTCCCCTTTTTCCCCCGAGCCCTCGGGCCCGAGGGCGAGATGAATCTCTTATTCGTATTCGCCTCAAAGGGAACGCTCGCGAACGAGAGGCGGAAAATCGGATCGCCTTTGTCGCGACTCGACGTCGCGCAATGACGACCTGCTCGTTCCTTTTCGAGAAAGCCACCCTTAGAGCGTTCAGAAAGTCTCTCAGACCAACGGATCCATCTAGGGCGAAAAATAAATATATATCTTTATGTTTCATTAACGCGTTCCGTGATCGAGGGCGCGCGGAAACGGTGCAACGAAACGAGGGGATTAGACGGGTTCGAAAAGAGCGATGGATCATGATCGATCACTGCTGGTTTCTCAAATGACGTTCATATCGGGCAGAGAAACCGTCAAGACACGAAGATGAAGTTTTTAGAGCTTCCCTAGCTTTTCCCATAGTCGCTGCACCCTATGAGAGGGCTGCACCGCCGATTTTCCGGTAGGGGTTGATTTTTTTGCGGAGTCATTTTAAGCGATCCAGTGATTTCATTCCAGGGGTTGCTTGGACTCGTTCACAGGGGTGCCAGATAGATATTCTAATGTTCTTCTTTAGGGTGCCTTGTGGGGGTGGCGTGTTTCAGAGTGGTTTTCAGCCTGTAGGCGGTCTGGAACGGTCCCGGGGTGGACGCGATTGATGCTCAGGGCTGGAAACGGAGGGTGGAGGGCGGGTTCATAATCGTTTCCTCCCTTGTTTCCGTCTGTCTCGGGTAATTAAGTTTCCGGTGGTTTTCGCACGCCGCTGACCACGAATTCGGATTCCAATTGGCGTAACCACCCACGCTCGACCTCGACACCCCCTCGTCCCTTCCCGCGCCCTGGTTTCCGCGTCTCCCGCGACTTCGCCCACGGGAATCGATACGTCCTAATGGATTCCCCCAGGAACGATTCCCGCCTAGCGGAGGGTGCGAGTCGATCGGTCCTCGACCCCGAAATGCAGGGGGTGCGATACGCCCTGGACCCGGAAGCGAGATTTTTCAAAGTTTACGCAATTCCGCCTGATCCGAGGCACCCCTTGATCGGGCACGTTCCTCCACCCCCTACCCCCTGGTCGTCTCTCTTTTCCTCTCCTCGCCAGCAACCCCCTGTAATAATCTCGCGGATTTACGAGTCACTCCCCCAGGAATTGCTGGTTTACACAGAATTCCATAGTACGCCGGGATTATCGTCACAAAGACGCCGGAAGTGCGTCCTTCGCCCTTTGAGACTCCACCTTTGAGATCCGCCGTATCCTTCCCGGATGGCTCCTGCGGAGGAACGACTTTTTTCCGGAATCGAGCAACCCCTCCTTACCACCCCGGGGTTTTCCGAGTGACAAGAACGCCGGATTTAATCCCGCAAGTACGGAATTAGGGGTGCCAAATATTCGCGGCTGCTTTTCGCTAGAAATCCGCGTGTCCAGTAATTAATTCGGAATTACTTGGCGGCCTGGAAGGGGTGGCGAACTCGGCCGCGATGCGGTCGAACGAGAAGCGTTTTGCCGGTCGAACGGACACGCGTGTCGTCACATCCGATTGGTCCCGGCCGTTCTCCCTCGGGAGTCTTTTTTCTTTATTTACCCGGGACGACACGGTGACTCGAAATATGGGACCGCGAATTACCATCACTTCGTCCCTCCCTCCCCTCCCCCGGGGTCTAGCTTCCCGAAATACCTCATTAAAAGCGCCGTAAAAATAAAAAGGAAATATACGACGCCCCTCAGGGGGACGAGGAAGGGTTCGCCGAGGGGCGGCATCCCCCAAGGTTCAGGGAGGAAGCCGGGGATTTTCAAGATTTAGGGAGTCCCGCGATCTTCCCTCTTTCCCGGTTCTTCCATTATTTCTCCCGACTGCCGGAACGACGTCGGCTGCCTTAAAAGTCCCTCCCTTCAGGGGGAGGGCAGGCCCGATTTCCGGCGATCGCGGAGCCGGCAATAAGGGGAGTTAAGGAAGGCATTAAGGAGGGTCGATCGAGTCGCAGATAGGACCCTTATTAATGGCGACGTTGCGTATTAAGGTGACAAAGGGGATGACGGGGATCGGGAGCCCGGTTCCCCGGGACTTTTCAGGATACCAGCCACGATTGCGTGTACACATTTCGTCGGGAATTGGACTCCCCGGAAACGGTCGTCGGGAAGTAAATTTCACGGGAGTAACCACCCTCTAGTGGGCTCGATAAATCCCGAAATCGTCATCTTGTCCGGGAGAATCGAAACGATTAGCGCAGCGGGCTGAGCCCTTCGGAGCGACTCGTCACCCC